ATACTAGATACTAGATACTAGATACTAGATACTAGATACTAGATACTAGATATTATTATTTACTGGTACCAAACATTCTCCAATAATATCTCACATAACTACTCGATAATAAATATAACAAATATTATTAATTTATGCAACATAGATACTAGATAATAACTATTATTTATTACACACAATGTATTATAATACTATATTACTATATATTATATACTAATTGTCTGATAGCATATGCTAGGTATTACACACTGAGAGCTAGTCAAACGTAAGTAATAAGTAAATTCCATAAATAACTAACTTAACATCTCCAAAGCCGATAAGCGATTCACTAGAAAGAGTTAAGTCTCTAATTTATTTATACCGAGTATATCATTAAGTTTACTCCGAGTTAATTATTTAGTCTAGATAGTAGATAAATATATGCTAAATAAAAGTTGTCACTCTTAACCACAAAAACTACTCAATGTTCCTTTGAAATGATTCCTCTTTGACTATTCCAGCGCAATGTGTGTTAACTACTCAGCGCTCTTTAAAGTCTGAAAGGCCTTCACACATAGATACATACATATGTATATACGTACATGTAATTACAGCAAGTCAGTCATTTAAGTGGAGCAATCTCTTGGAAGCTGCAAGCATCTCTGGCTAATTAGCATAACTGAAATGCTGCACATAATGGGCTGACAGTTGCAATGACAATAAATTGTCAAGGCTCTTGATACATGCCTCGATTACAGCCGGCTCGAACTTGCTCGGCCCGCGATGCATTCATTAGCCAGAGACGACGAGACGACGACAACAAGGCAGAGGAGGAGGAGGAGGAGGAGGAGGACGACTTAATTGTGCCAGAGATTCGCGAATTCTCGTTGCGAGTTGAACGCCTGCTAATTGGTGAATTTCGTGATAAATTGCACGCCTCTGGGATTGCGTTGGTGTCGCTAACGCCTGACTCCGTCTCTCAATAATAAATCAATTAATCAGGCTGCAGTGCTGCTTCCCCGTTTGAACTTTGCTCCGGCCGTTACTATGGCTGCAGAATTAAAATGAATTGATGAAATCATTCAACAAATTGCTTGACATTTGCCTGTATTTTTAGAATTTATTATGCTGTCTGAGTGTGTGGCGTGGGCGTGTGTGCCATTGTGTGGATGTGGGTGTGGGTGTGTGTGGGCTTGCCAGTGCGATTACAATTGAAATTCTGGCTAGCTCAAAGGCTTCGCGCCGCCAAATAGGCAACAACAACAACAACAACAACAACAGCAACCAAATGAAACAATTGTGGCAAATGCAACGACAAACAGGTCACATATGTGTCATAAATGTGTCAGCGCCGGGAACGCGCATATATTAGCGATAATAAATTTTGTGCTTTTTCGGCTGTGCCCCCATGTGCTAACCGAAAAACCCCAAAAAAATACCTTCCAAAAAGGAATCGGCCGATGAGGAATCATTTTCATTGTTGCTGGCTGCTTGGGACTCGCAGCAGCTGACAATATCAGCAGACGGCACAATCCAACGATAAATATGATTTACAAAGCTCTTGCTTTTGGGCCAACTCAAACAAGCAAACAAAAATAAAAAAATACACGAAAAAAATACTGTATCAACAGAACGTAGCCAGACATAACAATATTTAGAGAGTTTTTGGCCCTCGAGCTAATCGAGCAGTGCAAAAATAAGAAAAATTAATAACAAGCAAGCCTCCAAGTGCTTTGTTTTTGAAATATGAGCAAATGCTTAAAGTTCCTGAGATAATCTTGTGAAAAAAGTGAGTTTGCTCAGGTCGTGAGCATATATTCTATAATGAATGTCAAGCTGCCAGAGCTCTGTCAAGTCTGAGTTGATTTTTGCGACTGAAAACATTGACTAGAGGGCTTTTTTTTTGCATAGATATACATATATATTTGTATTATTGCTAATATTTGTTCATTTGATGTGCATATAATTTTATTAAATTTCTCTTTTGTATTTTACAAAATTTTGTGAAAGATTTATCATAATTTTTCTCAATTTTTATTTTTGTTTTATTTTTATTTAATTACTCTTAGTAAGTTTGTCTTAATTTCATCATTTCCGTTCAGTTATGCAGCATAAAAACCAGAAAAAAGAGGTGCAAAAGCTCCGACAAATATAACGTCATAAAAATATTATTTTCCTGTACTTTGAGCACAAAGACAAGCCAAAAGACAGTGCCAACTTTTAAGCACTTTTCCTGCCACACTCATTCACTTACTCTCTCTCTCTCCCTCTCTCTCTCTCTCAAACCTTCTCAGTCTGTTTGTGGCTGACTTTTGTAATTTCGCACACATATGGCAAACTTAAATAAACGTAAAACAACTGTGAAAAACTTGTTCAGTTTGCTGCAGGTGAAAACATTTCAGAGGACTTGCTGAGCCGCTTTCAGCTCGCTCAGCTTGCTCGTGCGGCGTTTCTTTGCTGCCATTCGAGAACTGAGCGCTTTGTTAGATGTGTCAACTTGTCAGGGCGACGCGCCAGCAGAATTGAGTTGAGTATTCAATGCCGGTCGCTTCAGCTTTGAGCCAACATCAAAGCTGTCTGGTAAACCACATAAAATTTCCATTAAGCTCCTAACGGCTGGCTTATTTAAATCCGCATGTATTTATTTTCCATTTTCAGTATTATGCCAAATTGATTGAATCTCCTGGGAGACACACATGCAAATTCCGTTAGTTATGTCAATCAACATAGCCAGAGAGAGCTCAGAGTGTTTACTACGAGCGTATTAATAGAACTGCAAAAGTTGAAATTAGCCGAAGAGGAAAAATCAATTTGGCGACAGTTCGTGCCAAAATGCAGAGCTGGCATGTCAGCGTCAAATGCGTGTATGAGGCATCTGTGGCATGGCCACAATTCGAGCCGGGATGTCGATTATGAGCCTAAGTGTGGTTAAAGCAGAAACTGCTAAAAATCCAATCAATAACATTCTTTTTATCACACAGGCCAGACGTGCTCCGCATGGGGAATGTGTGTGGGGAATCGCCTGGCGCAGCTATTAACGCAGTCACGGAGACAAGGCCAGTGGAGACCCATTAGATATGCAAAGGCAGCCAACAAAACAGCCCCTGGGAGGATACCAACACTCATTCACACACAATCACACACACACACATAGCCGCACACATTTGCGGAACTTGACTGAACTGACGTTCAATAAACATTTCAAATGTTCAATTATTTTTCAATTGCATCGATTTACGCCGAGCATTCAAATGTTTCGGGACTCCACCTAATACAATATAAAATCTGCGACGCAAAATGACAACGAGACAGTTGATAAAGCCCTCGGTGACAGTCGAAACGTGTCGAGTGAAGAGAATGCTGGCAGAGGGAGGGAGAGAACAGGGAGCGAATAGTGTACAAAACTTGATTTTTCGTGCTTCAATTTAGCACGTAACCCCATTGAATTAAAGGGAGTACATAGTTAGCCGGAAGTTATTTGACAGCCATTTTGCGTTGCCGCCGGCTAAAATGTGCCAGCCATTTGGATGCCACACAATTCCAAATCAAATTCAGCTGCTTTGCATTAAAGCGCAACCAAGACCCTCGCCGAAGCACTATATCCGCTGGCATCCATACGACAACGACGACGACGGCGACGACGATGTCGACTTTACTGCGGCTTACTCTGCGTATGCGTATTTTAGGTTGCGTGGGTTTGTGTGCTTTAGCCAGAGTGCCCGCCAGAGTAAACAGGAAATGCTGACTTGACAGCGCCATAGTCCCTTACCCATAGAGCAGTCGATTCCCCCCACTTGCCCCTCCGCCACATTTCCCACTGCCAAAAGAGGGCTCGGCAGCTGCCATGGCAACTATTCGCTTAACCGCAAAAACCAGAAACCATTTGGGCGACGAAGCCCGACGCGATAATCCTTTCGATTGACTTGGACATTTTATTTTCTTTTTTTTTTGTAAATCTGGCAAAGAAAAAACACACTAATGATTTGGCAATCATTTTAAATAGCAGATTTTTTAAACTGCATTTATGCTTCGGGGTGTTGACATGTCACCGAAGCAGCTTTTCAATTTTTAATCCCTTAAAAATCCAACAAAACATCTCTGTCTTTATTTTATTTTATATTTTTTTACAGCTCATGCAGCGCATACATCATTTCGCCTGAATAAATCATAGAGCTATTGCCATAACTCACCCGAAAAAAGCAACAGCTAATCAACATACGGTAAAAGAGACGAATAACGAACAGGACAACAAAAAATCATGCAAATTGAAATGGACACAGACACACATATAAATGCCAAATACTATAATCCAATGCATCAACATATGTGAGTGTGTGGGTGTGTTGCTGGCTAAACATAAATCTAACCGAGAGCACAACACGCAGATAACCAAACGGTTTACGAGCGCCCAAAAAAAAAGGGTTTACATTTATTTCAACATGGAATTTTCAAGTGTATTAAAATGCTTTATTTTTATTTTCATTTTCATTTTCATTTTATTTTTTCGCTGCTCATTGTTGCTGCAGCAGCGGCAACAGCTGCTGTTGTTCTTATTGTTGCTACTTTGTGTGCAAAAAGTGTTTGCATTAAATCATTCGATGATTTATTATAGACTGCTTTGCCACTCGTGAACTCGTCCGGTGTAAGTCCATATGGGAATTTTAATGGCTTGGCATTGTTGTAGTTGTTGCTGCCAAGTCTAGCCAAAAGTTTTTGCTACAAATAAGTCGAGTAAAACGAAATCGCAGCATGATTTTGGCAAGCCTAAAGACAAGCATAAGCGGCGCAGAATGTGGAGCCGTTCCATTCATAAAAACAACAGTTACTTACATTCCACAGCGCAAAGACAGGCAAACGCAAAAGGGCTGCAAGGCGCTGAGAGCCGTTGAGCGCAAGAGAGTGAGAGAGTGAGAGAGGGAGAGCGCTTTGCAGCGTCAACAAGTTCTTTTCTCTGTCGGTCAGCTGTTGTGGATGCCGAGTGGATGCCATCTGCCCTTAGTACACCAGTTGCGCCTTGTGGAACGCAGGCCGTGTTTACAGCCGAAACAGCTGATTGGGCGCTGCCGCCGCCGCCGCCGACGCTGCCTCGACCGCGCCGCGCTGGCAACACTTTCGTCAGGCGCACAGGAAACTGTTTCGTGTCGACTGCCAGCGCGGCCCGACCAGCTGGTCCCAGCGTTTTTCAGCTTTTCAGTTGGCTTTCCATTGCGGCGCCGCACGCACGTGTCTCGGCAACGGTCACGAGTCGGCCTCAGTGGATCTCAGTAGCGCTCTGTCTGGCTTTGTGCTTGTGTTTCGCTTCTCTGTGACGTGCATAGTCGAAAAAAAATCGAGAAAAATTTAAAATAAATAAAATTTATATATTATATTATATTTAAATATTATTGAAAAGTCTTATCGGCTGCGAACATCAAATATTTGTGATTTTTTTTGTGCCATCGAGCAATGATGAATTCGGACTTTAACACGAATCGTTTAAACCGCTTCAGTTTTCTGGCTTTTGGTTAGGTGAGTTTCTGGTTAAGCGCAACTCAAAAACTTTTTGCCGAAGTTCTCAAAGCTGTTTCGCTCGAGTATTAGGAGCTTAAAAAATCCATTGAATATAGTCCGTGTAACGGTCACTGCTCCAGTGGATAAATATAATTTAAACACGGATTTCCTTTTGTAGATGGGCAGGTAAGCTTTAAGGATGCATGTAGAGCTATCCCATATACATTCAGATGCCCACATCTGTAGTAAAGGCTCTCAGCCTTAAGTACCGCTCGAAGTTTTCCCCTGCTTATACTTAGCCCATAAAGTTTCCCTCCCTCCACAGGCGCCACGGTGAGCCCATCTATTCTTATCTGAAAACAACTCGCTACACTCGTGGCCATTATTATAAGTATATGCTTGGCTCCAGTTTATGATCGATGTGACCACAAAAGTGCAATCGAATTGCGCACAACTATCAACTGGGGTGTTGTTTTTTCCTTTTCTGAATCAAATTTATGTCTTTCAAATAAAACAAATACTTTATGGTCAGCATCGCTGCAGCGTTATAAACAAATAATAAAAACAACTCAAATTGCTTGTACATCTGCTTAGAGAGCATTTCAGCATCGCTTTATATCCGCCAGTCAGAAGGGAAACTCGCATAAAATTCAAATTTTAGCTGCGAACAGGCAAAGGGACGAGAAACATAAACCCAGAAACCTGCACAAACCTCGAACAAATGAATCTAATATTTCTAGATACAATCTGCTTGCTCTTGTTGTTGCCTTACTCTCTTTTATGACCAGACAATGAAGGCTAGGGACGAGCTCAAACAATGTTGAAAAGGTTTCTGTTTGCCAAAATATTTTGCACGGCCAGCGCAAAGTTTTCTAATTTCCCAGAAGGAAATTGTCCGCCGCAAAGTTGACTTAGCACAGCGCAAGCCTTTTTCACACAGCCAACGCGTCTTTTGTTTATGCAAAACTAACCGAACTTCTGTCAATAAAAGTCACTATAAACATTTCAATTTAAGTGCTGTTAGTTAGCGCCCTAACAACAAATAGAAATCCACAGCTGTTAATACTTAAGCAAAGACAAAGTGCGGAATATTTAGTATAATTCTTTTCGCTCTATGCCTAAATGTTTCGCATGCGTTGAAATTTTAGAGAAAGAGCATCGTTAGTTTTAATTGGCTCCGTCGGCGTTGACACATTTATTTGGACGCAATCTTTGCTGGCGTGGTCATTAGACCTCAAAACATGTGCTGCCATTAGGCACTAGTTACTGAGCGAGAGTGCCTGACTGGCAGATACTCTGTAGAATGTGGGCGGAGTAATTGAGATCCTGACATAGATCAGACCTTTTATGCGGTATATAAAATGACTGCGTGGCTAATAAATCTCTTAAAAAAATAAAAAATCATTGAATAATTTTCCGAATTTTTCTAGATTTTCCTAGAGTTTTTTCCGTTAACAAAAAATGAAAATTGTAAATAAACTTCTCAAGCTAAGATATCTGCTTGTATAAAACTTTCAATAAAAATATAAAAATACATGAGAAATGAATATAAAAAATCTTTACAAGCAATTTTTCTTGTCTTAACAGTGCCTAAAATAGATATATGTACACACACCGTGCATATCGTCAATTTAACTCAACTTTTGCTACTTGTACTTGGCTGTTAGTTGCCTTTAGCTGTTGTTAACAAGCATCTGGAGCACATGAAGCTGCACTTATCCACTTAGGGACCATCTGAAATCGTGTGTGTACATAAATTTTGATGTTTCATATACAATTATTTGTCTCCAGCTTCATCTTTATTACAGTCAGAGTCGCAGACGAGAGTCAAATGTCAATAGCCTATGTAATCACAGCGTTGTAACTTGGGCTGCCAATTTCTCTCTCTTTAGTTTTATATACTTTTTTTTTTGCGAACGGATTAAATGGAACCCTACAAAGTTTGGGCATTGGTCAAGTTCATGGTATAAGTTTGGCTAATTAGCTTTTTGGTAATTTACCAGTGAGCCGCTCTCATTGCCCATTGTGGTTTGATCCCAGTCGAGTGAGTGTCAGTCCAAATCCGAATGATATCTTCCCTTTGTCTTGGTTCTGCTGGCCGGCTGCGCTTGTCTGTGGCAATGTCTGGGGATTGCCTTTGAAATATTAATTTGATTAAATGCTTGAGCCATTCAAATGTCTTTAAAGTTAACTTTTTACATGCCGAATTCTATTTGAAATGCTTTAAAATTCTATGGAAATACATTTCCCTCTCGATTGAAGAATGCCCTTGCTTTTGGCTGGTATCCTTAATGCCTTTGCGGCAACTCGTGCCAGCCAATGTTGTCTAATATAACCTCTTATGTGGCTTAACTGATTAGCTGTCAAAAAGTTGCGTATACGCCACATGTGCCGCATTATTGTATACGCGTCATAAATTAGGCGTCTTCCCAGCGGCACGCGGTACATTTTACAGCATGTAAAAACAAAAGAAAAAAACTTGAGAAAAACTTTTCACTTACCAGGTACACACACGAGCGTTGCGTATACGCCCCATGGGCGCCTTCTGCGTCTTGGGCGAGGCGGATGAGTCAGCAAGTGATAATCCAAATGGGTATTGCCAAAATAAATGACTATAGACTTAGTCTACTATGGACTTAGTCTACATTAAGACCTTTTCACTTTTAAATGAGCCACGTAAAGTGTTTGTCTAGTCCAGACCTCAAATAAATTCAGATGTCTAACAATTTTTAATGGAAAACAAGAGAGAGAGAGGGAGAGGGAGAGAGAGATTGAGAAAAACTTGTTAGAAAAATACCAATATAGAGCCCAAAATGCCGAACCACAGAATTAATACAGCCTGCCGTTGACAATGCTGTGCCCCAATCAATCGCAATGCCCCTCGCCTTTGTGACCAAGCTGCTGGGCCTTTTTGCATATCCGAACCGAGCCCCAAATGGATCAATACTTCAAGTTGGGCCTTGCTCCCGCACTCTGCCGTCGAGGCAAAGCCCAGTTGATGGCAAAGTACTTGGAATAAATCAGTGCTAGCTGGTATTAAGCACAAATCAAAGGCAGCCAAACAGCATCTGGGTGCTGGCAACAGCAGCAGCACCATCAGCAGTAACAGCAGCAGGAGCAGCAGCAGCAGCAGCAGCGGCAGCAGCAACCAAAACAAACAAAATCACTTACGATGCAATTTTATGTTGTGCAATGGCAAAGGCAAGCCAAAGGCAAGGTCAACGGCAGCCACAGCCATACCCACAGCCATAAAGCCAGAGGGTTCCTGCTTGGCGGATCACGTACCATCATCAGCGGATGCTGCTTCTGAGAAGTAGATATGCATGAGTGATGGCGTATCCATATTCCATATTATAACTGTATATGCATCTGCGCCCTCGCTTGCTTCACGCTAAAGTGTTGCATAAATCACGGCGAATATTACGGATACGCAACGGGGCGTGGAACGGGTATGCGAATGCGAATGCGAATATGAATGCGAATGCGAATGGGAATGGGAATGCTCATGAAATAATCTGTCAGTAAATGCGGATGCGTTGAGTATTTGCGAAATGCATAAATAATGATTATTATACATTTAAGTAATAGTTTTGATAAGTGGCGAGGCAGCAGAAGCATTAAATGCAATTAAACGTAGGGAAGCTGTGGCTGCCAGCTGAAAGCTTGAGATGAGCTTAAATTGCTGAAATTTATGAAGATTATCAATTTAAATATCCCAAGCAGCTGCTCTGTGAAATGGCTTAAATCTGAGAGGAAATTTATACGACTGCAGGGCAGAGCGCGTTAATCAAAAAACCCCGACCAGAATGTCTACTGTATAATTTTCGATTGTGATAGCTAGTAGAATATGTATATATATATATATATATATTTATATGTATATATATATATATACTATATATATTTACATATCTAATGTGCCTGCAGGCAAAAACCTTATTAGCCATTCATTCAGTTGATGGCCCAAACACTGTTGGCAACGGCACATTAAACAAAGTGCAATAAACCATTGCACGGCACAAGGGGCGCACTTTGGGTCTTTAAGCTCAAGTGCTTTGTTTACTTGACCAGCATTAAATAAAAACTCTAGCAGACAGAGCGAAAGAGAGAGAGAGAGTGGGAGGGAGAGTGGGAGGAACGTTGCACTGCTTGAGCAAACAATGGCATCAACAATCGACAGCAAATACACAAAAGATATGGCAGACGACCCTTAAAAGATTATAAAAAATGAAGTACTAAACGAGCGGGTGTCGACGGGGCGGTACATAAGTAGCGAACCCTGCGCTGGCTATTATTTTGCGAGAATCGAACGTTGTGCAGACAGTTAAGCGGTTTTCCTGGCTAAACAATATCTGTCAGTTATCAGAAAAGCTTCACTAATGCCTGAGTGAGAATTATTTGTCATGTGTTCCTAATAGATAAAAGCGCGCACTTGGCTTGTTATCCTCCTTCTTCTTCATGTTTTTTTTTTAGCGTGTGGCTAATGTTTAAGTTATGAGGTTTTTGGCCCCGGCTGGCTGCTGGCACGTAGTTTATTCATAGTAGCACTCGTCGCATTGTTTTTTGTTTGTGGCACTAAGACAAATGGTCGCTGTGGTTGCCTGATTTACATATGCTTAGCAGCTGTCATGGCCAAGTGCTAAGCGAAGGCATTTGCCATTTCTCAACGCCTTTGCTACTAAGGCGGCGCCCGAAAATTGCATTTTATCAGCGAGACAAACATCAAGTGCACATGCAAGACAAGTCAGAGACAAATAACAACTGGGACTGGGACATGAAAGAGGCAAATCGTCTGTCTGTCTCTGTCTCTGTCTCTGTCTCCTTCTGCGTCTGCTCCTCTGCCTATTCCTTGGGAGTTATTCAAATGCCAGTGCTGGAAATATATATACAGCAAGCTGGCTGCCAAGCAGGAAGCACGAAGGACATTCTTATTACCTGATGTTGACATTTCTCAGCACGGCTGTCAGCTAGAAGCAAGGCACGTCACGTTTGCGGCCTGTAAGTGATCCAGCAAGAAT